AAGACCACATTTTAAAAGTCTATACTCAAACTGTAGCATACCACGTCCCTGCCATATTGGCTTGCTACAGTTCCAACACAGTATGGTCAGGTATAATCCAAAATAGGCAATAGAGAAGGATAGCAAAAACAGACTGCTGACATGGGCATTTAATTTACTCTTGACTCCCAATGCACCAAACAACTATTCCATCCATGAGATGTTGTGGTAAGCAAAACCAGGATTCCAAATTAGACCCATCAATTTTAGTGTGTGTACTAATATTACGTCAGTGATTTGGGGGGTATCAGCTTGTCAACTAAGCAAATCACTGAAGATTTTCATAAAACAGAATCAGATCTAAAATAACCTGAATTGAGAGTCCATGTGTAAATGTTTTCTTAGATATGAAAAAAAGAAAAAAGAAATGAGAATACAGCATATCCAGTCAGAGTGCATACAACTAGCTACACGGTCACTGGTCTTAGTAGAGCCCTTCTCCTAATAAAGCAACTTTTAATGAGGCTACATCTGCATGTTTAGATTTAAGGGAGTGGAGACTTAAAGGAAAGGAGTTCGGGTACATTTTCAATGGCCTAATGAAATATCCTCAGTTTAAACGATTTCTGAATGGGCTGTACATGTGTGTGGCCCCTGCCAGGCAGAGATGCTGTCAAAGGCCCTCTGCACCAGGTGGGACACAAGACAGACACTCAGCAAGTCCCTTCAGCCTGGCAGATGTTACAGCCTCAAGTGTGTCTTGAGTGTGCTGGCAGAATACGGTTCTAGGACCACAGTCGTCCATGTCTTCACCCGCCTGAAAGCGTCTCACAACTGCTGTCTGCCCCGCGGCAGTCCTGCACAGTTGCCACAGCCTGTGTGTGACATCAAAATTTGCACAACTGCTGTCAGCAGCCTGGAAAAATCCCGGGAACGACAGTGGAGCAATCTTTTTCGCCAAGGTTTTGATGGCACAGAATAAGAACAAGAACATCAAGTCCAAGAGTGATTCAGAAGAATCAGACCAAATGTGAGCAAGTTTTAAGAACCCCTTCACCCTGGGTTTCCCAATGGCAGCACTAGTGACATACTGAGCCACACAGTTCTTTGTCTGGGGTGGGGAGGTGGTTATCCTGTGCATTACAGGACATTCCGCAGCACCCCTAGCCTGGACCTGCTAGATGCCAATAACACCAAGCAAGCTGTGACAGCCAAAAATGTCTCCAGACGTTGTCTTATGTCCCCTGGGGACGAAAGTATCCCCCCTCCCCCCCGAGGACCAGAACACTGCCTTAACCTATTTATTTTGCTTACATTTTCCTTTTTCATGAATACACAAGTGAGAGGTTTTTAAAAATTCAAATAAAATCTTAATGAGCTCTTTCAATAAAATTTCTAAGAGATAAACCATTATTGCTATAATTTGCAGCAATTTTTTTCTTAGTCGTACACCAAATGCTTCTTAAAATCGATGACCTCTTCAATTCAGTGGAATTTAGCCACCCACCATCCTTTTCCCTTTGTTGCGAAGCCTTCATCCTGATTTCCTTTTAGGGACTTACTTCCTCCCCACTGTGTACAGTTTTAGTAGTACCCAGTTCTTCACTAGCTAGTAGTCCTCTCATCTTCCTTTTGATTCTTTTGAGCTATCCTATATGCTTCTCAAAATGTCCTTGCTTCCTAAGTTAGCCAGAGTTAAGTTTCAGTCTTTCAACCAAAAACCCAACTGAAACAAAGGACCTTCTTTAAGCAAGCCTGACAGAAGACATTTTAGATTATTTCCCTGCCAGAGAATTCACCAGCTTAGTAAAAATGTTATTGTTCCCTCACCATTTGCCACATATAGGCAGAGTGACTGGGGTATAGATGAAACCAGAATTGTTGAAATAGTATGATGGCTCCTGGGGATTCATTGTACTCTTCTCTGTTTTTCAGCGTGCTTTAAAATGTCCATAATAAAAAGGTTAAACAATGATAATAAATATTCTGTAGGAAAAAAATATACGATTTCCAAAGTCCTTTTTGCACAAATTTGGTTCCTTACATGTATGTGTGCCTATGCGCCACTCTAAAGTGCTTGAGAACTCGCCTACCATCATGTGGGCACCTGGAGAGCAAGGTAAGACTAGTAAGCAGCATGTATACAAGTGACAGGACAATGGCACAAAGAACCATTCTCTAAAACTGTGTACAAAGCTTTATTCAATCAAGGTAACAGATACAATAATGTATTAAATGCTTCATGACTCCAAAAACTTGCTTTTTTTTTTATTTTTTTTTTAAAGATTTTATTTATTTATCTGAGACAGAGAGAATGAGAGAGATAGAGAGCACATGAGAGGGGGGAGGGTCAGAAGGAGAAGCAGGCTCCCTGCTGAGCAGGGAGCCCGGTGCGGGACTCGATCCAGAGACTCCAGGATCATGACCTGAGCCGAAGGCAGTCGCTTAACCAACTGAGCCACCCAGGCGCCCCAAAAACTTGCTTTTAAAAGACTACAAAAAGAGGTGCCTGGGTGGCTCAGTCGGTTAAGCGTCTGCCTTTGACTCAAGTCATGATCCCAGAGTCCTGGGATCGAGCCCCACATCAGGCTCCCTGCTTAGCGGGTAGCCTGCTTCTCCCTCTGCCCCTTCCCCCTGCTTGTGCTCTCTCTTTCTCTCTCTCTCAAATAAATAAAATCTTTTTAATAAATAAATAAAATAAAAAAGACTACACATAAAACTCTCTTAATGTGGGGCTCCTGGATGGCTCAGTCGGTTAAGCATCTGACTCTTGATTTCGGCTCATCTTGATCTCAGGGTCATGAGATCAAGCCCCACCTCGGGCTCCACGCTGGGCATGGAGCCTGCTTAAGATTCTCTCGCTCCCTCTCCCTTCCCTCTGCCTACCCCAGCCCATGTGCTCTCTCTCTCTCTCTCTCAAAAAAGAATTTTTTTCTTAATGCTTTTCCTAAAATTTCTTCTCTAGTAGAAAGAAAAAAAAAAAAACAGCTATTGATTCTACTAAGAACTATCATATGGATGAACACACACTTTTTGCCCAGATTTGACAGCTGGAAGTTTTCATGAAGAAAGCGTCAAACATAAAAATTTTTTTTTAAGAAAAAATAATAAAAAGGTTTTACTACCCTCTGCTCTCCTTAAAGGTGACAGAAAATAAATGCCTTATCAATAGTCATTTGTCCAGTTTACAGTGAGGCTGCCAACCTCAGTCCACATGAGGTATAAAATTGGATCTCACTGGCACCTTTTATTCATCTCATGTGCCCTTTAACCTTCCACAGACCAAGTCAGAGCAAATGAGAGTTGAATAATGAAGGGAAAAAAAACCTACAAAAACAAAAACCAAACACCACAGTAAGGAATTATTGTAACCAAAAGCCTGTACCATATGGGGAGAAAGGAAGACAAAAATCCTATGTGAAGTATAATAAGCAAAGTAAATACGAGCATCTAACCAAAAAAAACCTTATTAAAATAAAATTCAATTAAAAATAATAAAATTTCAAAGACAAGAATTTCTACCATAATGTATCGATTTTCTTTGCTTCTTAATGAAAATGGTCTGAAATTTTTTGAATATTTAAACTTCACTCTCTAATTATATACTCCATCAACCTAACCCAATTAAGTAATTATAAAGTGCTCTGTAAGAAAGTATTGAAATACTCACAGACCCTTTCAGCAGTACTAATTACATCTTGATTTTTTAAAACCCTAAGCCATGAGCCTTCCCTATTTCCCGAAAAAATGGTGGTCTTAATCTAAAACTTATATCCTGCTCCACACATTTCAAGCAAATCAGAGGTAGCTTAGCACTTCGTCAAAGGGAAAGAAATATTAGAGAACATTTTTCAAACCCCTCAGTTTAGAAATAAAATCTTGAAGGCCCAAAGAGGTTAAATTATATGTTGAAGGTCCTGTGGTCAGTGAGGACTAGAATCCAATCCAAAGACTCTTTACATTTAGCTCTCTCAAACAAAATAGTTAAGCAGTCCAAAATAAAAACAAATACATGCTAGGCATCTACATGTGGTAGGCATGTGCCTAGTATTCACAGCAGGAAGACATTCACATGATTATATAATAAAACTCTGTGCTATATGCAAATTTCAGAAAGAGCACAGATGGGAAGCACTTGACTCTATCTTGGATTAAAATGTATTCACATATTTTCATGAATAAGTATATACTTTAAATCTTTAAAAGTAGTATTTTTTACCAAATAAATATTATCATGCTGTTTTGAACGCTGCTTTTGTTCAATTTATGGTCTTTCCACATCTTTCTGAATCAGCACATAAAGATCTACTTGACTGTCTAGTATTTCATTGTAGGTATGTATCCTAATTCATTCAACCAGTCCCCATAATGGGCATTTGGAGTGCTTCCGTTTTCTACTATTACAAAAACACTTCAGTGAACATTCTCTCAGCTATCATTAGTATTAGTAATGATAATAATTGCATAGATGTACAAAAGACAAAAATGTTCAAAAATGGAACAGAAGTATGGAGGATTTTGATTTTCCAACCTTACATATTTCTGCAATGTCTTCAGCTTCTTTGAGTGAGTACATTACTAATTAGTGCTAGTTAGTGTCAATATGGACATTAAGTCAAACATATGACATTCATCATTAGCTATAATATTGTAAGCCTTAACACCCACTGTAGACTATACAATTTTCAATCATAAACACATATGTTGGAAGAAACTCGCCTAAGAAATGTCTGGAGAATCCTCAAGAACTACTGCTCACATAGTAAGAAACTTGTCAGTAATCATGCAGCTAAGAACCTCACAAGAGATACAGTGGTCACAATCAAGTGTGGGAAGAGCATAACGTCGGGCTTTCATAAGCACAGTCCAAAACTAAAAATGGCCACATTCTTATACTCAACACATTCTGAAGTGCAGCCAAACACAAATAATGAGTCTTATTACAATCATCCCTCTCCAAAAATGTTTCATAATTATGATAAGAGGCCACCAAAATCTCTCTCAGATACCACAACACTCACCGTTTCTGATTTTCAGACTCTTTCCTGGCTTGCTCCAATGCCAGCTCCTCAGCCACTCTTCTCTTCAATTCTTCATCAGAAACTAGGATCAATAAAGAGTGGAAGGAGATAACATCAGTGAATTTTTTTTAAGATTTTATTTATTTATTTGCTAGAGAGAGAGAGCGTGGGCAAGAGAGAGTGAGCAAGAGCACAAGCAGGGCGACAGGCAGGCAGAGGGAGAAGTAGACGCCCCGCTGAGCAGGGAGCCCGATGCGGGAGTAGATCCCAGGATCCTGGGATCATGACCTGAGCGGAAGGCAGACGCTTAACGACTAAGCCACCCAGGGGTCCCCAATCAGTGATTTCTTAAAAAACAAAAGCAAGAAAACACTCCAGAAAACAAAGCTGAGACTAGATCTTAATGGGCAAAGTTCTGCCAGCTGGTCAGGGTCTCCTTGGAACTACCTAAGCACTGTAGAAAAGACCAATTAGTGCACTTCAGGAGTAATTTAATCAAAAGTTCCCTGGTGACCTAGAAATTTCCATACCTGCCAAAAAATATAATAAACTCAAGGAGCTGCTTACCTCCCAGTGGGGACTGAGCCATTAAGTACAAATTCTTTAAAATGATGTCCTATCATTAAAGTCAGACAATCATGTATAAGGGGAGGAGAGGCTGTAAGAGAGGGATTTCAGAGAGGAAAATGACACCAAAACATTCTCATTTTGATAATTAAACACTTTAATTTTTTTTAGTAAGCTCCACGCCCAATGTGAAGCCCAATATGGGGCTTGAACTCACAACCCTGAGATCAAGACCTGAGTCAAGATCAAGAGTCAAGACACTTAACCAACTGAGCTACTCAGGTGCCCCATATAATTAAACACTTTAAAAAACCATTTCTGACAGTAAATCATTTGTACTTACATTCATTTTTCCATGATTTATTAAAAAAGGGCATTTATGATTCATAAACATTTTGAAGTCATATTTTTTGGAAAATATGTCATTCAACGTCAAATGCCAACAATTGGAGAGAAACATGGAAAAGTGCTGAGAAGACAGCTGGAGCTTTCTAAATACCTGGTGACTTGATTTGAAACATCTGGTCTTTCCAATTGGAAAATGTACGATATGTTTTGTTAAGATTCTTACAGCTATGATAGCAAATAAAATAGATAAATTTTATATATTCCTTAAGAGCCTTTCATAAGAAATAAGCAGAGACTATTTCTGCTTTACTAGGAACCCATTACCTAAAATCATGACCAAGAAAGCACCAGAAAAACTTGGGAGGATCTAGGAATACACACAGGACTTAAGAAGTACTTCAAATGGTGGAGCCTATTAGGTGGAAAACTAGGTGGACACTTTACTTGATGATCTCTATAAGGGCCTTGCCTCAGGGCATATGCAAAAACTGAATTACAACGGGATATGAAAAACCTTTTTAAAATTTAGCTGACATGTAATAAATAAATAAAATAAAAAAGACTACACATAAAACTCTCTTAATGTGGGGCTCCTGGATGGCTCAGTCGGTTAAGCATCTGACTCTTGATTT